GACAACCTTGTGGTTAGCAGCCCACAGCATAACCCATTATGTCACCAAGGGTCCTTCATCAAGTAGGTTGCTAATACAGCAAGGAACACACTCCAAGTACATATGAGAATTTGACTCATCCTCATCCAATTGGACAAGTGTATTATCCTCTACTTCTACATATCCTTCTCAGTGGTACAGATATGACCATTCAATATCCAAATAGCGACATTATTCCAACGGGGTAGTAGTCATTAAGAAAAATGTAGAGGTGTAACATATATAGATTTAAGTACAAAAACCCGAATACAATTAAATTTCTACTTAGTGAATACAAAGGTCCATGTTCAAGAAGGGAAACATTACCTACTTCCCAGGATCTGTGAGAATTACTCTTCACATTATATCCTGGTACACAGTGAGGTGTTTTACCCAACCTAGCCATACTGCACATATTGACAAGGTGCTATGATTAGTTCTTTTCGAATGACTAGTGAATGTTTAATTGTTTTTATTTAGTTATATTAACATCACTAGCACGATAACTTTACTGATGCTTGATTGCTTTGGAACTGTTGAATTTTGGGGCATATATAATGTGGGTATAATATTTAGCAAATGAGATTTAATCACGGGTTCAAGTAGAAAGAAAATGTTTTGAAAATGAGGGCAGCAAATGTACAAATGTGCATGATACAGTGGATTGAGGTACGGATTGTGGTAAGAGTTGAACGAGCCCCCAATAAAATGATTTAAAAAAAGAAAATGAGGTTTAAAAAATATTTACAGGAAATTGCTTTCAATGCAAAATTCTATTAAGCAAGAGATACTGGAAACATAAAATAGTTAAAAATTTAGATTACTTAAATGTCTTCTTAAGCATTATTGTTCTGTAGACCACGAACTGCAGGCCCACAGTTGATATTTTTTCTGTCACTAGAGTTCTTCTATTCCCCACGTAGTCTTCTCGGTTTGGAGAATTAGTGAAATGGATAAGCCATCCATTCCCCTCACTGAATGCTCACTGTTAGTAAAACTTCCTGTGTTCCATTAACAACCTGATGTGAGAAAGCAATGGCATTTCTGTTTCTCACAGCACTGGGGTTCTGCAGAGCATCTCTCGGGGTTCTTTGATGTCTAGACAGTGTAAATCGTGCCTGCTCCAAATTCCACCCATTCTGCTTCAGGGCTAATGGGAAATGAAAACAAACCAGAAATGTTCCACCACTCTGAAGTCTAGGGTCAAAAAGTAGAGGAAGTGGTCTGTCTACCCCAGCAGGTGTCAAAGAGCTAAAGTACAGGGAATGGAAGCAAGAAAAGTGAGGGGAGAGGGGCTCACACTACCCTGATTTTTGAATAATTAATGTGTGAATGTATGTGCATTGTGAACACAGTCAACACGTTATAGAAATATCAGTGCGAGGAGTAGGAAATCCCCTTTGCTTCAATCCAAGGTCCCCCTTAACCCACTTCCCCAAATGTAACAATTGGATGTGTTTTCTGTTCTCTGTATTTTGAAATGATAAGATGGAAAATTGTGCTTTTAGTCGTACAACTAATTTTATTTTCTTCCTTTCTGTTTCTTCCTTTCTCTTTCATACACTGGAATCCCGTGGTTCTTCCAATTCATCTTGTTAGAAAGTAAGTAACTTGCTATTTCCAAGATTGTTTGGGGGCGTGCTTACATGCGTGAGGCAGTATGTGAAAAGATTGACGACTGTTACTTCATGGAAACTGTGTGAAATCTTTTAACTTTAAAATTCCGACTGAGCGGATAACCTTGGCTTTAACTGTGAAGACATCTTTTAAAAAAGTAAATTAAGAATCATAAATGTTATATGTGTTCTAAGAACACAAACATAAAACACATCATCTTACATGCTCACTGTTGATCATTGTTTTGAATAAATTATTATTATTTAAAGCAGGCTCATCAACAGCACTTACCAGGATTCATTTTCTGAAGCTGAAACTAATAGTTATATAAATAATACTTTAAAAAAAATTCTTCTGCTCAATGGAGGTTAATGAAAGCTTTTCTTTTTTTATAAGAACAGCTTTATTGGGACATTATGCACATATCATATGATTCAGTAGTTCATTCATATCAAGAAGAGTTACACCGTCATTACCACAATGGATTTTAACACATTTTCTTCTTTCTTGTGCTCTTTAAGATCCCCATTTCCCTCCAACGTTCCCTTCCATAACCCAAGAAACCAGTAATCTAGTTACTGCCTGTAGAGAAGCAACCAACCTTGATTTCGTAAACAAAAACAACAAAAAATAAAGAAACAAAAAAGCTAACAATAAGAAAATAAAATAGAGAAAAAAATCTGTGCCACAAAGAAAGCAGAAAATATTAAAAACTAAATGGGTCAAAGGGGAGATCAAATGATAAAGTGGTCATTTTAAACCTAGCTACATAATCCACATTCTCAGCCATATATTCTTTAGGAAAATATTTTTCAATTTTCTTGAGTTCAGAGTGAATAATAGCACTAAGATAGTTATAAGCAAGGTTTTAAAAATATTCTTTCCATGTTTATTGTGCATTGAATAAATTATTTTTATACTCATTCGACTCTTAGGATACTAATACTTTATCATGTTTAAATAAATTGGAAAGTATTGTAAGTGATTTTTTTCTTTTTTTGTAAAGAAGTGCGGGTGATATGCTTAAAACTAGGTGACTAGTTACGGAACTCTTGAGTGGGAAATTTGACATCTGACAGTGCTGTACAGTTTAAAATAAAACAAGTTTCATAGAGATTGGGGAAATTTGGGGAAAATTATAGTAAGTGATGTGACTTTTGGAGATAAATTGTCATGTGACTGGATTGCAAATTATACATTTGAAAATATTTTTTAAATGTTGAATATATTGACTTAATAAACAGTATAATTTAATAATGTGTTCATGCTTAATAGAGCTTATTATTTGTATGAAACTAGGGGATTATCACTATATTTGTAGCAAGCATAGTAGCAAATTGGATACTTAATAGCCAATTTATCTTCTCTAATTCCATTCCGTTTGTTATACCTTAGAAAGAAAATATAAAATATAGTTACTTTAAATTATGCTTGTTCAGTAATTTTTAGTTTTCTTTAAATCCTGTATTCTTCAATGTCCTAAATCTGAGTTCTTAGAATTATAGTTATTAAGACCTTATGAATCAAAGGTATGTGTGTAGTTTGGTGTGAGGTGGACAATTTTATTAAGTCTGGGTTGTGTCACTTTTATCTATTGGCTTCTATTTCATGTGCAGTGTTAACATTTTCTTCGCCCAGTCCCTACGGGAAGTCTGCCTTCCTGACAGCTATACTAAATTAAAATTCCACAAATCTGGCATAATCATTGCAAGCTTCAAATTGTCTATGCTTTTGTATAAAGTATAATGAAAAAATGTTTTTTTATAGTATAGAGTATCACATGTATGGCATTACTTATTGGGAATTTCTTCACTGAGAGACTTTTCTGGGGAGATGAACATATTTTACTCTCTAAGGATCCTTGAGCCACCTAAATAAGTGCAAGAAATCTTTTGTGAGGGATAATAATGAAATGAGTTATGTAAGCTTGTAGGATCTTTATGAGAAAAAAAATCTAGCCATATCACGCTATGTCCACATTACTTTCATGTTCTAACTGCATTGTGCTAGACCAGATTTCTGTTTGAGCTCTGGTTTCCTGACAAGCTCAATGGAATCATATTTATGCATTGGCCTAGAGCAATCACTTCCTAAAACACTGTAGAGCGTTCTTTCTATTGTAGTACTTATATACATGTATGTGTGTGCTGACTCACTACTAAATATGTTCTAGAGATTCAGCAAATTGACTTTCATTGAATTGGCAAATTTTCGGAGGAGCATTTTTATTGAAAGAAATAGATTTATATAATCTTGGGTTTTTAAAAAATATTTTAGTAAAATATAGTGATTCTAACTCAGAAATTCCAACTTTCAAAGATTAATGGCCCTAAAGGCTTATTATAGAATATTTTGTGATAAAGCATGTGGAACCCATAAGAGACACTTGGATGGGGTGGTGGGCAGCGAGGCTTCTAATCAATACTGGCTGGACCAACTATTGATCTTTAGTATATTAAGTAGTAAAATGTATATAGATACATTATCATTAAGTGAAAGCAGTATTTCAAGCCCTTGAAAAGTAACAGTTGGCAAGCAAAACACAAAAAATGAATCTAAAATTTACCACAGACAATATATAAACATTATACTTTTTATAAACATCATTCCAAGTGCATGAATGCATTTCAATAATGTTTGTGACACTGAGCATTGATAATTTGAATTTTTAATGCTGCCTCATTTATTTTTGAAAACAAAAAGTTGACGTAATCATGTCGCTACTTGCCTCTTTACTACAGAACATGATTATTAGCTGGGTAGCATTCCCAAACACATGTTTGTTCATTTGACATAACTAAGAAAAGGTTGGCACCAGAGAAGCCGTATCAGCGACATAAACACAGACGTAGGTTCTCCTTTAGCCATGTGAGAAATGCAGTCCTGAGAGGAACTTAAAGACTTGTAATTTCACATCAGTTCTTCCCTAGTTTCTTATTATTCCTTTGTTGCTTTTCAACCTATAGCATGGATTTGTCCTTGAACTTGGTTTTTTTGATCATTCCAGTGCAACCATCAAATTGTCTTTATTATTTAAAAGCAGAGGCTGCATGGTGTTACTTGTAAAATAATGCCACATAAATGTTGGGCTTTGGTTTCTTTCAAGTGTAGGCTTGGTTGCCTTTTGAATAAAAGCAAAATTTCAATTCAGGAGACTTTTTGCCTGAACCCTATAGGACAGATGCATCTGATTAACTTTTGGGAAACTAGACTGGGCCTTTATTGTAATGCAGATGCTCTTGGGGTTGGGAAGATATTTTTAAAAGGCATAGAAGAATTTATTTTTAAAAGAGGGTTGAGAGAACAGGTTTGTCACAGCCACTCCATCTCAGACTGCTTCATCTTTGCACACTTTTATTTTCTAGTGGAACCTCTCCATTAGCCTGTCTGAATGCAATGCTTCACACTAGCACTCGAATAGGGGATGGGACATTCTTCAGAATCCCGGGGAAGTCGGGCCTCTATGCTCTCAGAGTAAGTTGGTTTGCTGGCATATTATGTCTGTTTGATCATTGCGATATTTCATGCATTTCTTTAGACAGGTGAAGGTAAACACAGTTAGGTTTGGTGAAAGATAGAATGGCCCCAGAGCCCTTAAAAAAGTTTTCATATGTCTTTAAAAAATGATTTCGTCATAAGAGTAACCAATGGCCGTTTTCTTTCAGGAAAACATATCCGTGGTCTCACTCTGGCATATGGTGGTGGGAGACAGTTGTGGCTTCCTTCAGTCTTGATTTATGAAAAATGTATTTGAAGGAATGCCAGGGATCTTTAGTAGGGAGTTCAAAATGATCATATTTGCCATAAATATTTGACTTAATGGCCATCAGTGGGTACATAGATTTTTATACTTCTGTGCCTTTCTTTTCAGGAAAAAAAAAAAAAAGACTTATTTTTCTTGAAAACTTGCTGATTTTAATTAAGCATTTTCTTTAAAGCAAATAATCATCTCAAATAAGTTGTGCAAATAATGCATACATGTCATCAGAGGAGTATGGAGAAAAAAACCAAAATTTCATTGCCCGAGGCTTAATTATTTTTAGTAGAATTTAGTTTTTCTTTTCCTGTCAAGAAATGTAATAATTCCAGAAAAAAAAGAAGAAATAATTCCATCTAAAATGGAAATTTTAGGAAAGGATTAATGTTCATATCTACATAGAGTCGCATTGATTAACACAAGTAAAACCATTTCATTCTTTCATATGTTTTAAAAAAATATTAATAAATGATGGGCTACATTTAAAGTTCATCCATTTCCTTTGAGAAGGTTCTTTTAAAATGCCAAAAGTTATACCTGGCAATAGACCAAGGAGTCTCTCAGCTACTCAGTCTCTGGCTCTCGTCCCTCTGTATGTTTCAGAAAATAACACACGTTAAATAAAGGACTTGTATCGTTTCAATTGCTTTTGGTAGCCACTTGAGTGTTTATTATACTTGCTGATATTTGAGTGATTAGGACCCTTTTTTCACATGAAGAAGAATGTAGAATTGAAGACATTGAAACTACTTATGTCAAAAGGAAGTTTTCTTTCGATAAGTGCTTTTACAAGATTTTCACAATAATCAACAGGGACACATTTTATTTTTTCCCTCCCTAGTTTGCCTCATCCTGTCCCAGGCAGTGATTTCCATTAGAAAGTAAATTAACAGTGAAAATTCAAATAATCAATAACTAGACTACTTTAGGATTCTGAAAGTATTTTGCATGTTTCCGTTGTTAACACATCTTCTTAAACCATCGTTTTTAAAAATCACCTAGAAAGAGGAATCGTCGTGCCCAGCTGATGGAACGTTGGATTTAGGCTGTGAATCTGAATTAGATGGCACCGAAATGGCTGAGGCAAATGCTAACGGAGAGGAAAATGGAGGTAAGTGCCATGAACATCGGTTCTCTTGAAATTCATGTGGAGTCTACTAAGTCACTAATTGAATTCCCTATCCTAGAGTTATACTTTTCTGTTGCATTTTTTATAACCATCTTGTAGATTTATTTTCAAATAGTTTTAATTCAAAAGTTTAGCATCTATGATAAATACGCCATTCATTGGTTTTTATTTTGCTTTTGTGTTTCCTTAGTATACATTCCCATGAATAATTTTCTTGAGTGTTATTAGTATCAGTGTATTTATCCTGTGAGGTGAGTGGAAACATGGTGGCATCTAATGGCTTTATTTGATTTGATTTGTTGTTTTTAATTGTATTTTACCTTTTATTTATATATATGTTTTCATTAGTTCGGATTTAATAAATATATCATTCCACATTTCAGTCGCATCTGGTTTTATTTTTAATGTAATGATTTAAAATAGTATTTTTATTTCTGATTGTATTGTTTTTTCTTGTGATCATGAGTACTTTTGTAATAGCTTTGCTCTTTGGTTTGTTGCTTGTAAATTAAGCTTCATGTTACCATCCCTCACAGCAAAGTCCGAGTTAAACAAGATATGTTCTTCCAAGAGTTAAACACTTTTGAAAATTGAATTGCCCTAGGCAATTCTAAGGGTTATACTCTGTGTCTGAATTCTATTCATGTTAATTCAGTTTCATCATTCTAAGACACCGACACTGTGAGATTGTTGGTGTGTGTAATTTATGTCCTGTAACTTTGTAGATCTTTCTATCCCTTATGGAAATTCTCCAGATTCCTCAAATGAACCCAGATAATGATTGGAAGGGGAAAAAAAATGGTTCTTAGACTCCTTAACAGTGGAAACATTAAAAGTGGGACAAAAAGGCAGTAAACATGCCGGGGTGTGGATTCCAACTCAGAGCAAATCTGTGGGGTGGAGGAGACTGCCTCCAAGGGGTTTCCAAGACTGCTGCTCTGCACAGGGGGCTGGTAGGTTTGAACCCCCTTTCAGTTGGTAGGTACTTACCCAACCTAGGAGAATCATATAGAAACCTATAATTTATCTTCAAACCAACCAACCTTCGAGGCCTCTTGCAGAAATATCATATTTCAGTAATAGCCCAAAGAAGCCATTCGTTTTATTAATGGCTGTAAGGAGCCCTTTGTATTCTCTGTGCATGCGGAGTGGACACTCCTGCCCTTTAACCTGATAGGCTTTCTGATGGGCCCCAGGAGACTGAGTCTGCTTCAGTTCCGATCTGCTCTGCTGCAGAGGCTTTGAATTTAACATGGGAAACAGATTCTTTTCTTCATAAATGGACATAGGACAAAACTTTTATTTGGTAAGTTAAACTCCCTTGTTGTCATGGTTGTGGTGCGAATGTTGGCCACTCCTCGTTGCTAGGGAGAGCAAAAGTCGATGTTGCGGTGTTGCGTGGCCCTTTATGGCTATTTAGCAAGCTTCGTCATTGGACTGACTCTTCTTCTTTAGTCGGATAAAGGAAGCACTTATTCAGGTAATTTCTACCATTGCAATCCCTGCTTGTGTGAACATTTTCTTTTTCCTTGCTCTTCCTCTATTGATTTTACAGTGTGTCTGTTCAAGGCATTGTATTTGCAGCAACAAAAAGGCTAGCTTTTCAAGAGTTATGTGTTTTTGAGAGACAGACATTAAAGTATAAATAGGAACCATTTGTAGCATATTAAAATACCCGAGGAGCCCCGTTGACACAGTGGATTAAGTGTGGGTTACTAACTGAAAGGTTGGTGGTTCAAGCCCAGTAGTAGATGTGCTGGAGAAAAATGAGGCAGTCTGCTTCTGTAAACATTGGTGGTGTGAATACCCTGTGGAGTGGTTCTGCTCTGTCCTATGGGGTTGTTCTGAGTTCAAATTGATTCAACAGCAAGGGGTTCGGGTCCCCTCTGGCTTGGCAGTTTGCATCCATCTAGTACTTCTGTAGAAGCCAGGACTAGGAATGGACTTCTTACTAATGTAAGATTATAGACACCCTGCCCCCTCCAACAGAAACAACCATGAAACATCGTTTTACTTGGAATTATATAGGTCTATCATGAGTTGAATAAATTTAATGGCAATAAGTTTTGATTTATGGCATATTATATGGTGGAACATGATAGTGTATAAAATAAAATGAGGGGTTAGGAATATACGGAAGAGATGCATTTCAGTAAAGACCCAACGGAAGTAGGAAAGGAGTGTATAAGGATAGAGTATAGAGGAAGCAGGAAAAGCAAGCACAAAGCCTATTGGCAGGGGAGTGCTGGGAATGTTCTCCCAACAGCCAGAAAGGCATGTCGCTGGGAGGCTGCAGGGAGCTTGGTAAGAGAGCCTTGAAGGTGTTGGGGGCTAGAACATGTGGTGCCTTTCAACATGGGTTTTGAGCGTCGGGTTCTACAAAAGAGAACCGCAAGATGACCAAGAACAGAGGAAACAGGGAGATCCTATACACATAGGGAGGCTAGTTTTAAAGCTCTTTCTCCTAATCTAGGGAAGGGGGGGGGGTAGGGTGGGAGTGGCGATTTGAAGCCAGGTTGTAGAACTGGAATGAGTTCAAGAGAAAATGGGAGAAATTCGAGACTATCAACATAGATCATTCTCTCAAAGAATTTTGAGATACAAAGAAGTGGAATGGGGAAATAGAAAAACAGTACAATCAAAAGAGATTTATTTTAAGATCTGACTTAAAAATGAAGTTTAGGATATTTGTGTATTGATGGAAAACTCCGGGTAAAAAGGAGAATTTGATTATGGGGAAAGAGTGTCCTAGGGCTGAGGTTGTATATATATTTAAGTAGACAAGAGGCAATAGCTCCGTTACACAAAGAAAGAGAGAGATTTTATAAAGCTAGATTGTAGAGCAGCTCTGTAATGTAGGAAGAGACAGGATGCCCAGGTGGAGACCCAGGTGGTTAAGGTCCTGCGGAAGGGCCTTATGGGAGTTCATTTCTTATTGCTTCATTTCTGTTCTAGTGAACAGAAACAGAGTTGATACAGGAGGTGGTTTTTGAGATTTAAGCAAGAGATGTCATGTTGTTTTTCTGAGTCTGACAGCACGAAGACAACTGTTCCGGTTGCTCATTCTGCATTCAATGTGGGAGCAGCCAGCATGGTTGAGCAAGCTCCTTCAGTCATGTACAGGCCACTGGACATGGGAAAAGTAGGTAGAGAATGATATTTCACCAGCGTTAGGGTTTTTGCCAAGTGTGAATGAGGAAGCAAGGGGAAGGCAGCAAGTTGAGGGTATGTGAGAGGGAGCGATTCGAATAATTTTCCGTGAACTTGAAGTTGGTAGTAGAGGTGAAGGAAGACATGATTGCATACTTTGGTGTCCTAGAGGAAGTGAGTTAGCCGGGTAGGTCATGTGAGTGAGGAATGGTCACCATGGAGTATTGGGTAAGTTTATGGAATGAATGTCTAGAAATGGAGGCAGGGGGAGAAGAAGACTAGGTTTAATGTTGCCACAAATGATTGGTCACTGGGTGACTGTGTCAGAGTTGCTTGCTTGAGAGGCAGGGAAATGAAATTCGGATGGTGACATTTAGTGGCTTTCAGTTTGCCATGTAACTGGAGCTTGATTTATGAAAATACTTGTGTCAGGGGTCATTTGTGTGGACTGCCCAATTAGACTGCATGAGCATTAAACCAGGGTCATATATAAGAGCACAAATATTTAAAAACTGAAGGAGACTAGCAGTGCCTCCAGGCACGGCTGACTCCTAGAGACCTGTGTGGGTTTCTGAGGCAGTACTGTTTCCTGGAGGAGAAAGCCCAGTCTTTCTCCTGCAGTAAATACAATAAGGAGGGCTAATTGGTGGTAAAGTTTAAAGAGACAAAGCTGATGGTAAATAGGGAGCAGGAAAGGCGAATAATCTAGAAGCCACACGTGGAGAATGGGAGCCCCAAGGCGGAATGCTTAAGCTTTTCTGATGCTAAAGGAAGGTGTGTGATGTGAACCCCCCAGCATTTCTCAGGAAGAAAAGATCTGGCAGTTTGCTCCTGTAACAATCACAGCCCAAGAAACTCTTCTAGGCACGCCCACCCGTTCCCTACAAGGTTGCTATTAGAATAAGATGATCCGATTTAAAGTGGGACACCATTGACGAGGTGGGTGGGTGGGGTTCTTGATTAAAAATTTGGTCTGTGTGGACTAAATAGACCCTTCCCTAGCTTGTCGTGCATTCTTTCCAAAAATAGGGACTTTTTAAAAACGCCAAAAATTGGGACTGTCCCGCCAAAAGCGGGACGTCTGGTCACCTTATATTAGAATCAAGTTCCACACCACAATTTCACTTCCAGGCAATGTAGTACAAGAGGGGGGGGAAACTCAAAAGCCAATGACTATCTGAGTGTAAGGGTTCTACTGAAAGCAGGAAGCGTGGGCATTGGTTGGTTTGTAGCGCCAGATGGGAAATAAGTGTTCAGAGAAGATGGAGGATAGGGGAGATTTGGCTAGTGACTAGCCCTGAATTCCAGAGGAAACCATTGAAGGGTTTACCAGCTGAGAGGGGGTGAGGAATCTGGTGGAGGCACTCACCCAGGAATTAAAGCAGAGCAAGGATCGAAGTAGGCTCCCTTCATTTTAAGGGTGAGTGAGTTCTTCACAAAACAACACATAATCACATATATTCAGCGAATGTGACCAGCATTCAATTTCCTGGCCTCTCCTTTGTAGTTGCAGCCGGACGATTGCACTAAAGAATCACTGGAAGAATGGTAAAGAGCATATTTCCCTTAGTATCCCTTGACTCGCCCACTTTGCCTCTTATAGCAAACTACAATTACTTCTTGCAGGACAAGTATATTTCCTACCCATGGAAGCATCTGTCCTACTCACACCTCAAAGTACAACCTGTCATTCTCCCCTGAGGGCATTGAAGGGAAGCTTCACTTTTTGAAGTCATCTTATGATTTCCAAACCTAGATTTCAGTAGTGTGTTGAGTGCCTATGATGTCCAGCCTTTGCATACTGCTTATGACACATTTTCATCTTCCCAACA